TCTGTATGTATCTTGCAATGATAGTATGTTTAATTGCGTCGGGGTAAAGACTACTGGTGCAATAGGATTGTTTTCCCCTTTTTCTGTTTTCACATTCTTGCATAGTGGTTGCATAACTTTCAATAATAGCTTACCTGTATGTAAGGTGGTTGGATGATAGTTTTGAGGGGAAAAAAGGATAAAGCAAGATCTGCAGAATTCAATCTTTCTTTGCTCTCAGGCAACGGAGTATGACCTTTGATGTTACTCAGATGGTATTGAGCTTTGGGCATCCCAAAGATCATCTTCCCTTCCTGATACCCCCTTCTTCATTTCCTGATGCCTCCTTTTTTATTTCCTGAAAAAGTGTTTTGAGTAAGTGCCTAAGTGTTTGGAGTATCCCTGATGGCCCAGTGGTTAAGCACTTGTCTGCTAACCAGAAGGTTGACAGTTCAAACCCACCAGTAATTCCCTGAGAAAATGATGTGACAAGCCTCAAGTCTTCACAGGTAAAAGTCTGTGAAGACTTATGGTCTTGGAAGCAGTTCCGCTCTGTTCTGTAGTATTGCTGTGAGTCCAATTGAACTTAACAGTAATGTCTTGTTGATGAAAGTGTTTAAAAGGGAAGTGTCTTTATTACTGCTCAGACTCTTCTGCAAGATGTTAGAAATGAAAGCTTGGCCTTAACTTTGTGTCCTTTATTTTGGGGGCTTCAGGTTCTGTTTAGGTTTCTTTGAAGGTAAATACCAGGGACTCGAGACCTGTGGAATAGTGGGAGCGACTCCGGAGGACCAGACTCACAAAGCCACAGATTCTCATGTCTCAAGAGGCCCAGAGTCTAGGACAGCTTGTGCATTCTGCTAATCTTTTAAAAAAGAAGGAAAGCAAGAGAGGAAGAAAAATAAAGGGTGTAGTTAATTTCTCAAGTACTACTTTAATATTTGTTTACATTAGTAATTTGAAAGAGGCTTGAACAAACCCTCTTCTAATTTTTCTTGCTTTAAAGGAAGTTTAAGAACAATTTTTAAATTAAACTGTGATCTAGCCCTTTACAAACGATTTGGTATTTCAGCAGTGCGGGCCTTGTGCTGAGTCAGCCCAGCTGTGTGTGACAAACCTGAGAGAAGGTTGAAAAGCCTGACCAAGCCTGACAGCTTGGACATCAGAAACCGTTACGGAGGGTTTTCACCAAGGGTGGTAGAAAAAGTGAACAGCGAGAAAGTTGGGAGGACATTCTGAGTTTGGTTGACAAGCAGACAGCTGCAAAGTCTTCTTTGTAATCCAGGGTCTAGGATAAAGGCATGAGCCTTTGACAACAAGCCCATGAACACCCTCAGGATCCATATAGAATGTGGGAGAGATTTGACTGATAGGACTTAGGGCAGGTTAGAAACCTGTGTTCTAGGCTGGAGAAAAGACAGAGCTAATCATTCAGCTCAAAATACCTTGCTTATCATATGCCATCTTTGACGTGTTTTGCTAGGCACTGAAAGATTACAAAAATAAGTGTTGTACCTTCCTTCAAGAAAGAACAATCTAGTTGAATAAAGGGATAAGTACATTATATGAATGTAAAGCAACTCTTTTTCTGAAGGACACTTTGGATATAAAAGTACGTGGGCCTATCAGAACCTTGGATCTAACCTGTTCCCTTTGAGCTCATTGCAGTGCATAATTAGCCTCCATCGGACTTCTGAAACTTCAGATCTTTACCAGAGGGGACTGCCCATATTTTCTCCCTCCTTGGATTCAAACTGTTAGCCTTAGTTTGCAGTTCAACACATAATGTACTGTGCTATCACGTGCTTCTCTATGTGGGCGTATGTGAAAAGTTAATACAAACAATATCTAATTATACTTGTTTTTCTTTAAACATAGGCCATGGCTTTACTTGTAGTTACCTTATTTTGAAGGTAATATTTTCCAAAAAAAATGTCTTCTAAGGTAAATCCCTGAAGACAGGAACATTTATCTGATATGCTCATTGCTGTACCCACAGTGCTGAGAACAGCCCTCAATGAGAATTTATTGGATATTGTTAAATGAGCACACAGAAGTGAAATAAGCAGAATGTTCCAGAGGGAGTTTCTCACGGAGCTGATGATAAAATTCTTAGCTCTTCTTCACCTGTTAGACCATCTCCTGTGGTACATTTTCAATGTGCTGTGTTACTTCTGTGCTCCTGTTTCACATCAGGACATAAAGTCCAGTAAACATCTAATTGAAGCTCAAAAATGTACTGTCCTCAGAATTCCTCGTGACTCACACCTGTGTCTTTATGAGACCTGCCCTTTTAACCACCAACACCTTGTCTTTCCCTGTCCTACCAGTTAGAAGATGCAATAAAGCCTTCAAGTCTTATAAACCAGCACAGTCATTCTGGCAACGAAACTGCCAAAGTTTAACTCTGATGAGTTGATTTTCAAAAGCTCACCATCTCCATCTGAAGAACCTTTCAGATGCAGTTCTAAAGTCTAGATTCAAAAGTCAGATGTATTAAGGCTGAGGACTACCGATAGTAGCTTTAGAAATTTTGTTTTAAAACAAATGTTGCTTTGCTTCTGTGTGCCTTTTGTGCAAAGCCTTTTACTGTTTACCTGGTAGTTTTGCTGTATACCTGGTAACTGCTTACTCAAATTTCAGACAGACTTACTAATGAGAGAAAACAAATAACTTCATATTTGAGTGAGCTTTGAAACCCAAACCTGAAAATTTGCAGCACATAACCTATGGCTTAATCTCCTTAAGAAGCTTTCCCTGAGCAAGGGTGGGACGTCTCTGAACGTGCTAAGTCTGTGTTGGTGATGCTGACAGCAGAGGCCTCTTGCGCTCCCCGGTCTGGAGTGCTGTGTGTGCCGGGCGCTGTTTTAACCACTTTGGTGCTGGACTCTGCGGCTCCTTCTTCCACTCTTCTCTCCCCTGATGCAGAGCCCACGCGGGTGCACTAATCTTTAGCGTCTTTGTGCTGCTCTTCTTACCTCCTCTTTCCCCTTCTCTTTCCCTTTTGCTGTGATGTGTCCAGAAAAGGAAGTCGAGTTCCAGCGTGCACCTAATGGTGAGCCTTGCCTGCCCACCCATCTGCCCACTCCATGCTGCCTGCACCCTCCTACCAGCCACGCAAAGCCCATTCTGCCATGTGCGTGTGCTCCACTCATCCTCACTGCATGTCTGTGCTGTGTGGGCAGCCGTGGCCTGTCCTGCCAGGCGGGGGCCATCACGCAAGGTCACCCGGTGGCCTCCAAAAAAATGGGCATTGGAACATGAGGTGTGGCACCAGAGGTGGATGCCCCCCAGCAACCCAGGGCAGGAAGTGAAGCTGGTGCAGATTGGGGCCGGGTGACATGCTCCGAGACTGCCCGAATTCACCATCGCCCAGAAGGGGCCTTACTCCCTGACCTGAGCAACCTTTTCTCAGACCTGCCGCCAGTGGCAGATGAGCTGGTTGTAGACTCATAGCTCTGAGCCCTGATTGCCTGCCCCTTTCCTCTGCACGTCTCATTATCAGGCTGTGCCCATGTTTCCTGCCCAGCCCTTGTGGGAACTCCTGACAAACTCTAGTTGAGTACATCCTCTTTCTCATGGGACACGGGCACCACTGGTAACACATCAGCCTGAATCATTGTGCAACTGTCCATTAAAACAAACCACAGCCAGGGCATTTGGGTGACTTCGAACTCCATGCAACTGGCAAGTTCACAGGTACTCTGCTGTCCTTGCCCACTGTGGGTTCATTCTGTCAGCTGAGTTTTGCAGATGGGACAGCCTTCTGCAGACCGCTGTGAGCAGGAGGTCAATGTTGACAGCCATGCTAGGAGGGCTCTGATACTTCCCTATTGCAAGGGAAGAGAGCTAAGGCTTGCAGGCACTTGGAGCCACATCTTGACCATTCCTGGGACTCCTTTTCTTCAAATCTACAGAGTTCAATGGAGTCTTAGCATTTGGTGCTGGCTTGAAGTTCCATGCTTAGTTTTGGGTTTGATTTCCTTTCTCAGCCCTTGACAGGAAACTCAAATAGATGGCTTCAGGTCCAGGGGTGCACTAAAGAGACCTCTGGACAAAAAGTAGTAGGCTGGACAACTCAAAGAGAAGAAGCACATCCTTTGCTGTCACAAAATGTCCTCATCTATGTCCTGCCCAGGGACAGGAGCTGAGCCTATGTTTCTCTGTTGAAGATCTTACAAGCATCAGGCTGCTTGCTGGCAGCCTCTGACCCTGCTAGACCCTCAGTGAGTCAGAGTGCACTGGTTCTGCAATTGTGAGAGACTGGACCGATTCCTCACCTCGAAGATTGCTACTTTGTGTGTATTTTTAAAAACAAAGATATACCTCCAAATGTGCTGCTGTTAGGGATCGTGTCCTTTTCTCTGTTGCGTGACAAGTTTAGGGACCGCAGCCACAGCCCCCACCTGGACTCACCTGCCCCTTGGCGCTCTACCAGGGGAAATGGTGATGAGTATAGCCTTCTCTGTCTCCTGGGGTCAGAGGATGCGTTTTGAATCGACAGTGGAGCTCCCTCCCTTGCCTCTCTGAGCATGATCTCTCAGGCCAAGTATTTGTTCTCTTCCCGTTCTTATCAGTTCAGTCTTCAGACTGTTTTATTTAAATGGGCAGGAAATCCAGGTCAAAAAGAGCAGCAGGAGACTGCTTGCAGATGAGGGACCCAGAGTGTCTGAATTTTGCTCTGCTGTCTTATAAACCATCCTTCTCTGCCCACCTGTAAAGTGGAGAAAAGATGACAAACTTTCTTCTGGTCAGATTTGCTTGTCTAACAAGATGGCACCTGGAGAGATGCTTTAAAACAAGTCTCTGGGCTGGCCTTGAGTACGTCTCCAGAGTTGGGTCCTACCAGAAGTTACCCCTTCTGTTCATCTCTCCAACTGCTGTCCATCCCCATAGTGTTATGGAGACCACCTCAGGCCTCGCTCTCTGAGCCAGGCCAGGGGGCAAGGGAGGTCTGGGAGTCGAACCTGAGTTGCTTTAGTGAGTCTGGAGGAACTAAACCATCTGTTTTCTTGTCTCAGCCACAGAGCAACAACAAAAACAGTCTCGTAAACCCAGCCCAAGAGCCCGCGCCCTTGCAGACGGCCATGGTACCTCCTGACTACAGCTTCTCCACCTCTGCCCCTGGCTGCCTCCTGCTTTTCCCTCTTTCTCCTCTTGTGCCCCCTTCCAAGGTGTCCTTGGCCTTTCTCCCTTCTCAGTTCCTTAGAGCAGGCTGCTTTGTGTGCGGCCCCTGAGGGCCTGTCCCCTTCATCATCCCGCTTGGCCATATCCCTTCCTGCACGACAGAACTGCTACTCCTGCTCTTTTTGCTGTGGGGGGACAGTGAACAGGGCTCTGAACCAAATCTCCCAGCCCCAGCAGGGACCCAAGTGGGTCTGCTGTGTGGGCCGGGAAGGTGAGTAGCTTAGATAAGGAGCGGGTAGTGGCTGTCTTGAGACCACCTGTTCTCAGAGGCCTCCTTATAAAACTTGGCCTCAGCATCTCCTTTGCAAAGCCAGGAGCATGAAGAAGGGCGTGGTGCCTGCCTCTGGATGGTGCTGCGGTCCCCGGGTTCCTTGCGAGCCCTATGCCCTCTGACTTCCTCCTGTGCTCTTCTGTGGGCTCACAGAGTTGCCATGGTGGTTGTAGAGTTAGCAAGGGATGGTGGGAGAAGAGAAAAGGGGCCATGGTACCACCACTCCTTCACTTCCTGCAGACCCTCTTGCTGCTGGTGCAGATCTGTAGGGGCGGGAACTCTGGGGAAGGCAGAAGGTGGGTGAAGCAAGGAGCGCCCTGGGCTCTGCTTGTTGATGGGGCAGACTCCATCGTTTGTTCTCCCTGTCTCCCTGTCCCACATAGCCTTGGATTAACACTACTGGCAGGGCCTGGCTTGTGTGCTCCATCCCACAGTCCCTCCAGTGTCCTTGCCCTGTGGGACCCTCTTGGGAAAGAGCATCAGAACTGGCATGAATCAGGGACCAAAACTCACGTCTTCTTGGCTGCCCTGATATCTAATTCCACTCGAGTGCCAGCTCCTTCATTCTTCTCATACACTGCCCTCAAAGCTGGGCTTCTCAGCCACTTTGGAACCCAGTTGAGGCAGAACATTTGTCTTGTGGGAATGGTTGATAGCCAGGCCTCAGAGGTCATCAGGGGGTCTGCAAGAGTACCAGGGGGAGCGGGGAGGTCCTCTGGCAAGAGCCATGTATAGGACTACACCCAAGCATAGAGGATAATTCTCATCTCCCCTCACAGGAGCCACAAACCACTGTGGTGCACAATGCTACAGACGGGATCAAGGTGAGTGACCCCCAAGCTGTCTCCTGCTTTCCAGGTCAGCATGAAACAAGCAGGTTGGATGATGGGGTAAAAGAGATTGTGGCTAGTAGCTGACAGCTGGCACCCCAAGGTGAGGGTATTGGCAGAGTGTAGGCTAGAGGTGGTGTGTGCCTATTTGCTGCTTCTCTGGCAGTGGCATTATACTAAGTCATTCTGGGCTCAAGCTCTGTGGTCAGAGTTTGAATCCTGCCTCTGTGGTGCTGAATAAGTCACTTTACCTCATTTCAGTGTCTATAAATTAGGAATAATAATAATAAAATCTTTCTCTATGAGTTGTGAGAATTAAGTGAGCATAAACATGAACTAAAGAACAGAAGCAAGCATATAATCAAAAACCAGGAGGAACCAGTCCTTGGAGAAGGACATCACGCTTGGAAGGGTAGAGGGATAGCACAAGAAAGACCCTGGGTGAGTTGGGGTAATGGGAGTAGATGCATCAAAGACGATGAAATCGACTGAAGATAGAGCAGGGTTCAGAGCTGTTGTACGTACAGTTGCAGTGAGTCACAAGCAACTTGATGGCACATAACAACAGTGTTTTCCAGTACCTTACCCTCTTCTTATTGGGCCCTCAGTAATCTTGTCCCCTTATTTTTACCAGCACTTAGTAAATACTTACTAAGCCCAAACAACATCCACGACTCTTTTACAGAGAGAACAAGACAAAGGTCTTTGTCCACAGGGACAGTTTAAGTGGAGACTGGGGTGGGGGGACCAATCACCAAGCAAAAATCAAATAAGATAAAATTCAGTGGTGATAAGTGCTGTGGAGAAAATGGTACAAAGTAAAGCGGTAGATGGTGGCCAGAACTCTTAATTAAGTGATTAGGGAAGGGCCTTCAGGAGGTGAGATTTGAGCTAAAAGCTAAGTGGGAGAGGCAGAAAGGTGAACTCTGGGGTGAGTGCCCCAGGCAGAAGGAACTGCATGTGCAGAGGCTTGGCTTTTGTGAGCAAGAGAAGATCCAGCAGATCTAACAGGGTGATAAGCTAGGGCCAGAGTGCTGGGAGGGCGATAGAGTTGAAGGAGCAGGCAAGGCCCACTCTGTAGGGCCAGCGAAGAGTCTGCATTTTCTTCTGGCAGCAATAGGAAGCCATCAGCAGTTTTAAGAATCAGCACTTCTGTGCCAGAGAATAATACTGTCTGATTAATGCTCTTTGCGGGGGGTGGGGGGGGCATCTGGCCATGTTATGGGCAGGATCTAGGGAGGATGCAAGATTGGAAGCAAGACCAGGAAGATGTTAATAGTAATTCAGGTACAAGATGATGGTGGCATGAACTTGGGTTACAACATGCAATTGAAGAGAAGAGGTAACAAGTAAAGTTTTACTTGAGTAGTGGGATAGATAGATTTGATTTTGGATTAGATAATTGGCATCTAAGGGAAAGAGAGCGAGAAGAATCAAGGATGAGTGTAAGTTTGGTTCAAGGCTGAAGGGTGAATGTTCTGCTTTCATACTGTGTCTGGCTCTCCTAGTTCCCAAGGTCCCAAGCAAACGGGAATATGTTCTTTTTGGCTGACAGGGTTCCACAGAGAGCTGCAATACCACCACCGAAGATGAGGACCTTAAAGGTAGGTGCTGGGCCCTTGGTGGGAAAGGGACCCCAACAGTGACTCAGGTACCTTGATGTTGATGAGACACCTGCCTTGTCTGTCCCAAGAATGGGACATAGTGACTCCTCATAGTCCAGCAGAGAGAGTAGTATAAAAGCTACTTTGTGTCGGCCAAGATCTGAGGCCCCTGCTGGGTGCTGCTGGGTTGAGTAAGAGACTTCCCTTCTTTGATCTCAGATCTAGAATAGCCAAACTAGAGGTTTTCCTAGGCCTGTTGAGAGACAAGGTCCTGTTGCTAATGGTGATGAGACAACCCAGGATAAGGGCTTCTAGGATCTCTTCGGAAAGAGCCCGGAAGTATTGTCACAACTAGAGTGATCTGTTTCCCCATAGGCTTGGACTTCTTGGGATGTGAAATCCATCCCTTACCAGGGCACCAGGTACTATCCTAAAACCAGGTGGTGGTGGTGGTGGTGGAGGATCAAGTCAAGTACGATTCATAGTGTACTGTCAGTGGAACCTTCCAGTTTAAAACCAGGACAATTTCAGGCAGCCAGTGAGAAGTTGGTTACCTGAATCATAAAGCCTGGCATGAGTGATGGAATACAGGGACTCTAATGTCTGTCAAGTGACATTTTGCTGCATCCCTAGTGGTCCTGTTTGGGCATAGGCCTAAGCTTGAGCTGACCCAAGTGCCAGGGGGAGTGAAAGGCAGTGACAGTCCACCTAGGCCCCTGGGAATTTCTTCTGGCACCTTCGATTGACCTCCTGGAATTGCTCCAGGAAGTAGCCTAAGACACGGCTGTCAGAAGATGGAGAATTGCTTCAGGATAGGGCTGAGAGAACAGATCCAGGAACAGATAAGAGACCCCAAACCTTTAGGAAATTATCTAACTCCTACTCCCTCAAAAAAAGTGTTAACGTTTCTTAAAGGAGCCCCAGTGATGCCATGGTCAAAGCCTTGACAGCTAACAGGTTGGCGGTGTGACCCCTGTAGGAAAGTGAGGCCATCTGCTATCGTACACATTGACAGCCTTAGTATCCCTGTGGTGCCCACTCTGCCCTGCAGGGTCACCAAGAGTCTTCATAGACTCCACATTTTGGGTATAGTTTTGGGTTTTTAAAGAAGAATGCCTCTAGAGCCGATGGGATTAAGATCAGTTCAGTTTAATCCTGGTATTGCTGGCAGAGTAAGGGGCACTTTCACTGCTGGGCTCTTGACCTTGTGGCCTAATCCCCAAAACAACTTTCCCAAGAAAAGGAGTCCCTGTACAGGCCATTTTCAGGCAGCTCTGGAAGCCACAAGCCCAAGTCCTTGCACCTTCCTGAGACTTTGGGCTGGGAGGCCTCCATGGCAGAGGCAGCGGCGTGGGATGTGGTCCAGTGTCCACAGCAGCCCGAGGCGTCACCCGGCCCCGGCCCTGCAGCGCCATGGGCTCGGGTCCTGTCCGGCATGCTCGCTCACCTGCCTTGTTCTGTTTGTTTTGGCTGCTCTGCCTTGCCCTGCCCTGCCCTGGCTGGCTAGCTGCCCCGCTCCGCACTGGGAATGGCAGCTCGGTGCCTGAAGGACGGAGCACCCGGGACAGAACAGCCCCCTCTGCAGGCATGCAGCCCCAGCCTTCTCTCTGCTCCTCAGCCAGTAAGTGTGAGGGAGGCACTTTCTGGCTTCCATCTCCCTGGCTCGTCCTGAAGCCCCTCAGGGATTCCCACCAGAGCTGTCAACCCAGCCCAGCTGCCCGCCTTAGTAAGCTTTGGGACATGGCCTCTGCTAGGGGTGGGGGAGCTATTTGAGACACTGTTAATCCTAGCTGGGAGGGGGGTACAGGTTGTCCAGTGGCCCCTGAGTCTGGGGCCCCCAAAATAGAAGCTGAATGGGTGCAAGCACGTGGCATGGAGGGAGGGAGTAGAAAGCCACTGGGCAGTAGCAGGGGTCTGATCCCTGTGCTGACCCAAGAGGAAGGGTGGGGCCAGAGCCAAGACTGGGGTGGGGACTGTAGGGGAGGGTGGCGGTGAGAATGTGTGAGCTGAAAAATCTGGGGATGTGATGTTTTCTGGGGCTAAGAATTATACCAATTTAAGAGTATGGGGATTGGGAACAGGTAGACTTGAGTTCAAATCCCAGCTCTCTACTACCAGCAAAAATATGTGACATAGCTTCATCTCCAAGAGCTGCTGATACCTCATCTGTAAAGTACAAGTTAAATGTACCTACCTCCTAGCACCTTACTGGAAAATTAATGTTGCTGTAGAATAGATGCCTAAGCAATAGATGTTGGAGTGATGGTAGTCCTCACTTGAGTTTTTTCAGTTGTATCTGTATAGAAGGCGCTTTTCTGTCTGCCGCTTTCCTTCCACCATCAATTCTTTTAGACATCCTAAGCACAATCCTCTTCACCCACAGGGCCCCAGGCTGCTCCTCCAAATGGGCGTGGTGGGGTTGGAGAGGGCTCTGTGTGTGTGTGGGCGTGGGGGAATGTACAAACCTGCTTCTCCCATTAGAGGCTAGAAACACCTTCGTTCCCCTAGCCTGCTGTTTACTTACCTGGAGCTGCAGTGTGATGGTGCTGATGGCTGTGGCCCCTTCCTGCCTGGACCTCTGGTTGCACTACCCCTTCCTGGCTGTGCTCCTTGGCTGTGCCGTGGTGGCACTGTTCTAATGCTTGCATTTGTCTTGCAGCCTCTCGCTCCTGTGAGGAAAGGCTTGTGTCCTGGGCCAGCTTGGGGCTGCGGTCAGGGTTAGCCCGAGCTCAGTCCGAGCCCTCCCTTACCCTGGAGGTGCCCTCTGCTAATAGTGGTGCTCCCTGTAAGTGAGCTGCCCAGGAGTGCAGGATGTCACTAGCAGTCCCTTGGCTTGGGGAGGGGGCAGGGGGCAGTTAGGGCACCCTTAACTCTGCCTGTCAGTTGGAGCCTTGCCTTGGTTTTCCTGAGGGATGCATTCTGGTATGAGATTTATTAACTTCGCCAAAGCTTGTCTGGGGTAAATGGAGCTGTCTGGAGAGAGACCTTCAAGAGGAGAGGCTTTGTAGTTATCAGGTCCTTTATCCCACAAAAGCCCAAAAAAATGATATGTGCAGGGTGAGGAGAATGCAGCAACCGTTCTAGGCCCCTGCCCCTCTTCTTAGGAATGCTCTTCCCTACTGGATTAGAGACCACTGAGTGAGGTCTGGCTAGGGGTCTGTGACAGACCTGAGGTGAGAGAAGTGGGTCACAGAATAGCTTCTTGGAGAGGCTGAGTCTGCTAGGGATGTGACATAGGCTCTGGGTTGTCTCCATGGCATCATACCAGGCCTCTCAGCTGCTGTTAGAGACAGGAGTGTTTTCTGAGACCTGGTTAGTAATGGAGAGGAAGGAGAAAGCCAAAAAACAAAATTGAGGGGCTTCAAGATAAGGGGTCTGTTGACACCAGTACGGGAGGGATGGGAAGAAAGAGCTTACTCTTTTTTGTAGGACCTTTAAAACAGCGTAGTACTACCTTTGTCAAAGAGATCATAGGGACCTCTTTGAAGGATTGGGATAGGCTCTCCAGCCCTTGGGAGATTCTCCAGTCCTACACAGGCAAACTGCTGAATTTTTTTCCCCACAGTGCGAAAACAGGAGATCATTAAGATCACAGAACAGCTGATTGAAGCCATCAACAATGGGGACTTTGAGGCCTACACGTGAGTAGTGACCCACTCTCTAGAGATGCACTTTTTCTCTCAAGCCTCCTCACATCCAGAAAGTTGATAAGACCCTGGGAGAGGAGAAAGCTGGACCCTGGGTATATGAGCTAAGCATCTAGGCTGGCAAATAATCTGCAAGCCAACTCACCCCTGGTCTCTTGGGAGCAGCACATAGGGCTGGTTGAACAGCCCAGCAGACGGACCTCTAGAACCTTGGCTGTCTTGACCAGCCTGACACCTGCAGATGTGGCTGACAAGGAAGACAGATAACCATCACAGAAGCCTGACAGGCCTCTCTTTCCTCCTCTTTTTCCCTGCAGGAAGATCTGTGATCCTGGCCTCACTTCCTTTGAGCCTGAGGCCCTTGGCAATCTGGTGGAAGGGATGGATTTCCATAAGTTTTACTTTGAGAATCGTGAGTGGGTTCGTGCTGCTGCTAAACTCCTGCCTGCCCCTTCTCTCCCTTTGCCTCTGTCTCAGTCACCTTGTCTTCTTGGTTGCCTGATTTCCCTTTATTTTACCTGCCTGTCACACCCCCGGTTGATACGCTTACTTTCTGTGCTCTGATAGTGGTTTGAAATAAGCCCTTCTGAAGGCGCAGCTAGAGCCCCGAGTGCCCTCTTGGAGCTGGCAGAGTTCGCAGCTGCCACGATCAGGCTCACCAGATTTCTTTAAACTTCGCCTCTTCCCAAGAAGGATTGGAGACCATTTGAGCTTAGGTTGAGATGATCTCAGCAACTAATAATGAAGCTCAGTGCCTTCAGGTTTCGCAGTAGAGGAAATTAAAACCAGGATAAGAATGTGTAAGCAAGTATCAGGGCACTGTTGGTGATTTGTGAACTTGCAAGTTATCACGAGGATTCTCCTGAGTATTGAGCAAAACAGAAACCTTAGAATTGGGGGGAAGCACACTAGACAGTTCTTAGAAGCTGTAACTGGTTAAAAGGAGCTGACTGGATGCCTCCACCCCCCATCTTGCTCTTTTCTCTCCAAACCCTGCCCCCTTTTTTCCCCCCTCTTAGCTTTCTCACTTTTTCTTGGGCCCTCCCCATCCTGCCCAGAGTTTCATGCTATCACTGTTTTTTCCACTGGCAATCACCCACTACACATTCCCACTGCAAATGTAAACCTAAATCCTCCAAGTAATTCTAGCCAAAACCAGTCCCAGAGCTTGTGGACAAAGTAAGGAAGGTTTCCTATAGCCTCTGTCTTAACACTGGAACTAAAATTTGAATCTCAATAAAAGCAACACCATTTGCACAGTGTATTCTGATAATAGCCATCCAACTTCCTTTGCCTTTCCCCCAGAGGATCCTGGGAATCCTAGCAATATCCTGAACTTGGTGATTCTTAACTATTTTTATTTTGGTGCCTTTTTTTAATTTTTTTAAATCACAAGCCCTTTTCGCATCATTTAAAGTCATGATTTTGCTGTGCAACACAAATTGGGGGCAAGCCAAGCCTTATGCAGTCCACATATCAATCAGCCTACCAGAGTAGAGAGGCTGTAGGCTTCAGTTAGGGTCAGATGGTCCGGGGTTCAAATACAGTGAACTTTTTTGAGCCTGTTTTCTTAAAATGAAGAAATAGTATCAGTTGAGGCTCTAGCTCATGCATGTGAAACTCCAGCACAGTGCCTAATTGAAATAGCAGCAGCTGCCATCATCCTCACTCACCTTTCTCTTTCATTTGGATCAGTTTGGAGACTGGTGTGATGGGGTGCCTTTCCTGTAAGGGGTACATGGGGAGATTTGGCAACTCTAGGAATGGTTACTGAAGAGAGGGTGAGCCATCAAAGTGAGGGTTGGGAGGAAGATGCAGGTCCCCAGGCCTGATGCCCCTCCTGCCTGCCCCACCCTGCCCTGCCCCCTGCAGTCCTCTCCAAGAACAGCAAGCCCATCCACACCACCATCCTGAACCCGCACGTTCACGTAATCGGGGAGGATGCTGCTTGCATCGCCTACATCCGCCTCACCCAGTACATCGACGGGCAGGGCCGGCCTCGCACCAGCCAGTCGGAGGAGACTCGGGTCTGGCACCGCCGGGATGGCAAGTGGCTCAATGTCCACTATCACTGCTCAGGGGCCCCTGCCGCACCGCTGCAGTGAGCTCAGCCACAGGTGCACCTGGGGGCAGGGCTGGGACAGATGGGGTCAGAGGAGGAAGAGGGTGGGAGGTGGCAGGGAGGGACGGGGTGTGGGCCACCCCCTGAGGTCTGGACAGTATGATCAGATTTGTGTCCCTTGCCATGACCCAAAGTGAATGACCTTGGACATGTTCTGTCCCCTCCTTAAGCCTCAGTTTCCTTGACTTGGGAAGAAGGAACTTTGTTGGGAGGACTAAACAAAATCCTCTAAAGCACTTGTTAAGTGCTCAGCAGATGTGAGGCAATCTCCCATTTATATGTCAGCTTTCCCCCATCTATCTACCGCCTTCCCAGGCAGACTGACTTGGTCACACATGCTGTCTGCTTCAGACCCAAAACTTGCCTGTGTGAACAGTATCCTCTGTTCTGTTACCACGTTCTGTCCTATTTGACAGGGGCATTAGGAGATCCCAGCTGGAAGTCGAACCTTCGCAGCCAGTGGCTCTGGAGGGCCTGAGTGACAGCGGCAGTCCTGTTCGTTTGAGGTTTAAAACAATTAAATTACAAAGCGGCAGCAGCCAATGCACGCCCCTGCATGCAGCCCTCCCGCCCGCCCTTCGTGTCTGTCTCTGCTGTACTGAGGTGTTTTTTACATTTAAGGAAAAAAAAAAAAGATTGTTTAAAAAAAAAAAATGAACCTGTACCATGATGCGTTTTAAATCTACCGAATAGCTCTTGGGTTGGCATGAAGGCAGGAGGTTTTGTGATGCCCATCCTGGCATGAGCAGCGGGCACACGCACCAGCCCAGAAGAGGCGAGCTTGACCTCTGGCCCCCATGTACCAGAGGGAACCAGACAAGAACTCTGAGGGAGCTTCAGTGTCACGATGTGATTGCAACCCCAGAAGTGGCCTGCCTGCCCCAGGTGTAGAAAGGACTTCTTCAGAACTTGCATGGGTGCCTAGAATGAAGCTGACAGGAACATTGCGGCTGTCAGACCAGCTTGGGAGGGAACAGAGAGCTCCCAGAATGCTAGGAGGCAGCCGAGATGCAGTGGCCTCAGGACTAAGGGCCCGGACGTTACTGTACTGTTCCACGTAGCATACAAGGGAAGAGAATTGGTGCTGCAGAAGTGTGTTTGCAACGAAGCTGATGAGAAACCTCATGTTAGTCTGATATGCTCTCCACTTACTCATCCATTTCTATAGGATGCACAGTGCACGTGGGCCCTAATGTTGAGGCCTGAACCCTCGCAGAGAAGGGAAAGGGTTTGCCTCTTTGCTTCCTGTTTGTTTTCTTCTGACTGCACAAGGAGAGAGCCAGGCCCTGCCTGAGCAAGCCTGTCCTTGCCGTTTGGCAGTTCTGTTTCCATGCTGATGTGGACCTTTTCCTGGTGGTGGTCTCTGTGCTGACTTATTTGGACCCAGACCGTCTGCCAAGTGCCCTGTGGGGATGAGAGGAGTGAGGCAGTGGGACTGAAAGTGATGGTTGTTTCTATGCATTCGGGCTGCCCTCAGGGCTGCCTCCCCTTTACTCTTCCCTTGCTGCACGTCCATCTCTGTTCCTGTCTGAGGTTGACCGGACTGCTCTGGCAAGAACAGGTGTCCTCTTCCACGAGGCCTCTTCACCGACCAACTATAGACTTACTGCTGGACAATCTGCATGGGCATCATCCCACTCTCACTTGCATGCCCCCAAAAGAGATGTCCAGAGCCATGGCCCCTGCATTCATTGTCCCTCTCTGTACTCGAAGAGTGCCATTCGAGAGGGAAAGATCTACGCTCTAAGCAGATAGCAGAGAAGTGAATGTAGGAGTAGTTGGTCATGGCCTTGGTTTTCCCAGAAAAACTGTTCAGAGTTGTCTGCACAAATATCTGCACCTTGGGGGTGGGGGAAAGGTATGGAGACCCCAGCTCCCCAGATTGTCTCCAGGAGGCACAGGAGCTAGGGGGAGGGGAGGCAAAGCCACAGGTTTCCCATGGAACCAGCCGTTGAGAGCAGACTGACAGGTGCTGGCGCTTGCATTTGACCAGGCTCCTCTGAGCACCTCATGCATGCCCCAGTCTTCGGTCCTGCCCCTTTGCTGTCCAGCAGCCTGCAATGCCAGCACGAGACACCTTCACCATGACATTTTGCTGGCTTGAAGACAAATGGTCTTAAGAGTTCATTGAGACCCATAGCTTCATACGGCTGCTCCGGCCCCACTTCTTAGCATCTTTACTCCTCTTCAGGGGCTAATGTCAGCATCTATAGACAATAGACTATTAAAAAGGAAAAAAATCACCTTTTAAACAAGAAGTGGAAGGCATTTGATGCAGAATTTTTGCATGATGACATAGAAATAATTTAAAAAATAGTGTTTGTTCTGAATGTTGGTAGACCCTTAATAGCTTTGTTACAATGAAACCTTGAACTGAAGATATTTAATAAAATAACCTTTAAACAGTCCGTTGTGTTACTGTAGTCACAGGTTTACGGCCGTGGTGTTGGGTTTTAGATTTTATCAGCCTGGGTTACAAGGCTCCAATGTAGAGGGATGCTCCTTCAATTCCTTTTGTGCCCATTTTGAAGTAACACGTCCTCATAAACTCTACAGCGTTCAGCCCCTCCTCCTGGCAGCCGAGACCACTTTGAGGAGGGGGGATGTAGCCCATTAAGACGAGGGTTGGGGCCCTGGGCCCATCCGCAGTCAGGCCCCCGCGCCCTCAATGGGACTGCCCGGCTGCCCCTGGGCTGGGTTGACTGGACGAGCCAGCGCCTAGGCCTGCCCCCTTCTGCGACCCGGCCTCCCATGCGCTGAGCTGATTGAAAAAGCCCGTGCCTAGGCCCGCCCCCTTCCGTGGCCCGGCCTCCCATGCGCTGGGCTGAGAGGACTACCAGCGCCTGAGCCCGCCCCTTTCCGTGGCGCTGCGCTCGCAGACGGTGCCACCGGTAAAGGAGAGGGGAGCGCGTTTGAGGGCGGGGCGCGGAGTCCGGCGTCCCGGGGGCGGCAGCTCGGCAGGACACTGCGGAGGGCCAGTCGGCGACCCCGCGTTATGGCCATACGGCTACCAGGTCTGTGGCCGGCGAGGAACTGAGCGAGAGCTGCGGGCGCGCGCACCGCCTCCCCCTGAGTGGGAGCTGTGGTTGGGCCCGGCTGCAGGAGAACGTTCGCTCGGAGATGGCGGAGTCGCCGCCGCGCGGCCCGAGGCCCCGAGAGCCGGGAAGCCGGGCATCCCCAGGACGCGGCGGAACCCGGGGACAGCGGGGACGCCGCCCAGTCCGCCGGGTGAGCCGCCCTTGAGGGGAGCCCCGCACTTAATGTGGTCCCCACTCACGGTCGCCTTCGGCGCCTCTCCAGACTTCCCCTGATGCTGCCACCATCACCACCTACGGGGTCGCCCTGCGGGGCCCTGAGCGCCCCTTGCCCTGGCCTCCCTCGGAGTCCCTAAGTTCCCTCAGCTTGTCCCATCTGCCCGGGGGACCCCCCCTCGGGGCTGTCCAACCCAGTGCCTGCTGGATGCCACCCTAGACTTTACTCAGCGCACCCCCTTAATGCCCACATTTGGTGCGCTCTTCTTACCCACCTGTGACCCCATATACCTCCTTCAGCGGAGCCCCTCGTCCTAGATTCCCGCTGTGCCAGCCCCTTCTGTCTCCATCGTCCCCAGCATCTCCTCCCACTTAGTGCCCACACTCATGACCCTCTTAGCGCTGCTGTCCACCCCCCAGGCCCCGCGACCCTTCTGTCTTCTTCCTCTGCCCTCTGATGTGGTCCCCAAGCCCGTCGCACAGCTTGCTCTGCGCTCCGTCGCTAACCATTGCCAGCTGCCTCTAGGTGTGAAATGCAAGGGTTAAGAGCACGGCTTTGAAGCCTAGCTTTTCACTGACAGGCCAGCTCTGTGATTCTGAGCAAGTTTACTAAACTTCTGAGGACATAAATAATTATATGTAACCTCCAGAGTTACCATGTTGCATGAAATATGCATACAGTTCCTAGAAGAGTGTGTGGCAAGTAATAGGCTCCATAGAGAGACCAAAAAAGTTAACTGTGATTGTTATTAACATTAGCCCTGAGCAGCTATTTCAGTTTCTCCTCACATAGTGTTTTTCCCCACTGAGTTTCTTTAATTGTTTGCATCCATCCTTTTACATCACCATTTTGATCCTCTCCCGTCTCCCATATGGCAGTTAGTCATGTCCCAGGCCACACACAGCCGAACACTACTTGGATCTTTTCTCTCAATTCTGAAGGATCTCGTCTCTTCTCTAGCTAGTTACCCCTGAGATGTGGAGTGGTAGAGCAGGATTGCCAGCAGCTGACCTGGCTAACAGTGACTGAGGTGGAGAGGGTGGCAATAAAGCTTTCAGAAGAAGTCTATCTCTGAAAAATAAGGGGGGGAAAGCCCAAATTAGGTCTCCTTTTCTGTTTTCTGAATGTTATCCTTGTTCCTGTCATTGGTTGGAGGTGATTTAAGTTCTTCTTTCTTTTTGTCATCTTTTGCTCCACTTACTGTGCTCTGTTTTTATAACAGGACTTAGAATCCCTCATGTGTCTGTCTCTAAGCTACTTCAGGGACCCTTCTGAGCTGTTTAGGAATGGGAGTGTAATACAGTAAAAATATAAAAGCTGCAACTGTGTAGGGCAAGAACCTGTCAGAGAAGGAAAACGAAAATATATTCCACTGAAAATATTGATACAAAAGTGGTAAGACTGTCAAAGGCAGAAGACTTTCAAGACCTGCAAAAGCAAGTTAGTCTTCATGTTCCTGCTCTCACAGGTTTCACTGTATTACCTGACTTAGGAGGTTTTTTTATACTGTGGAGTCCGAGCTGGTTCACAGCAGATCCTCCAGCGGGTTTTCAGAGGCTATAAATCGCACAGGACATTACGCATCTTTCTCTCACAGATCAGCTGGTGGATTTGAGCCACGTGCCTTTAGGTTGGCAGTACAGCTCCTCTCTAGGTCGGGTTGTTGTTATGTGCCGTCGAGTCGCCTGCGACTCATAGCGACCCTATGTACAACAGCCCTAAACTCCGCTCTGTCCTGTGCCAGTCTCACTGTCT